GACATAGCTGGCATTAGGGTCCATATTTGGGGGCTGTCAGGTCTTTATCTTAAATCATATTGACTAAATAGCCTGTCTTACTGCCACTGATCTAGTTTACCTTACTTGTGTCATTCATGAAAGATAGAAGAGTACAGGGCATTAAATCAGCTAAAAAGTGTACTTATTGCTGCCATTATTTTCAATATGATCAGCAGTTACATAAAGTGTTAGGGAGTGTTCCTTAGCTGGTTCTGTTTGTCCTCTGCCAAGGCCAGGCCCACTGTAAAACCTGTGATTGTTGCATGTCCTTGTGGGATCTCTGATGAATAGCTCCCACTCCTTCCAATACTCCAAAAAATGTGGCACAATAGACTTCCAGTTTTGGGGAAAGCCTATAATTGTCATGAAGTAGCAGAGATCAATAGTTCAAGCAATGGTGGAGGGTACCTGGCTATTTTGTTCTGAAAATTTCCATTCAAAGAGTCACTGATATACACAACCTGAGATCCTTCCTGGTTCTATGATTCTGCAGTATTCTTTGCTCAGTCCCATTTGAACAAGAGACAGACCTCACAAGCACTTCCCTAAGCACAGCCATCCTGATAGTAACCTTTGCTGTTTCTTGTCCAATGTCTTACCAGTGGGGAAAGCAACATGTGTTTGGGCTACCTGCAGCTCAAGTTTACTCTGTCTTGCTGCATAGAGAGTAAGATGTTCACTTTATATCGTGCAATGTGTTTGTGAAATGAATTAAGAAGAAATTATTGTTCCCATTTAGAAGTTGAAGGAATTGAAATTCAGAAAAAAAAATTAATGTGAGTGGAATCTTCAACCATGGGTTTTATGTAAATACCAATATTAAAATTACATATTGCAATTAAATAAAGGCTCAGCCAGCAAACCATAATAATTACTGTAGATTAACTATTCACCAGGTATGAAGTTCAACAATAACTTGAGACTTTGTTTCCTGTTAATCCCAGAGTTTGTATATTGATTTTAATATCTTCTTTTTCCCACAGAAAACATTGAGACATGTGGCTTTGTAGTATATCAAAACAACAAGTTTTTCCAATCAAAAACTTTTACAACTAAATCAAATTTTAGTCAAAAAATCATCTCAAGCAAAATAAGTGGAACTGAGGAAGAACAGAATGTTTCTGTTGAAATGATCTTTAATCCAAATGTGAGTTTTCCATTAACATACATAAAAAGTTTAGTCCATTCTTGATTACAAAAGAAGGTGTAGTTTAGGTAAAAGAAAGCCTCTTTCCTACCCATATATTTTCTCAGGCTACTTAAAAACAAAATTAACTAAATTGAATAATATGTCTGCTTTTCCCCTCCCTGATCTATGATAAAGGTGCTAATGCTAAATAAATGTTTGATTTTTTTATATGCTTATCATTTTTCATTTTTTTCTACCCAAATAAGCATTTAAACATTCAGTATTTGTAATTGTCTTATCAACTCACAGTTTAATCAAAGAGAATTCCAACTCCATTCCTATGCCTGTGTCTTTTGGAATCTTGCAAACAGTGATTGGGACACACATGGCTGTCAAAAAAAACAGGGCCCTGATGGGTTCCTGTACTGCAGCTGCAACCACACTACGAATTTTGCTGTATTAATGGTAAGAATTAATATAGTGATTTCTACTCAGACAAAAATTTTCCTTCTATGCAATTCTGGTATATTCTAATAGGATATAACTTTGGGGTTTAATTTACTTAAGATACTCAACTTTTTGTGTTACATAGAAAAACAGAGAATGGACTAATATGAGGACTAAAGGGAAATAATGGAAAAGGTAAGTAGAATAGAATTTTTTGCAATATGGTCTTAGGACAGATGACCCCAGCATTGTTGTACCTAATGATAGGAAGGGACCTAATGTGAGAAAGAGGGGCCAACAGAGTCCATTTGACTAAGTAGCATGTTCTTTTTTTTTTTTCCTTTTTCTTTTAATTCTCCCTGCTCAGATCCTCCTCCATGTCCCCCAGGTAGTAGTCCAAGTCTTCCTCGTTGATCTCCTCCTCTCACACATAGCTCATTTTGTCCCATTTAGACCCACCCATGCCATTGGTCCAGAACACACCCTCCTGTTCCTCCTCAACTTCCTCCTCCAAGTCTCCCTCATAGTCTTCCTCTCACATGGAGGTCCCATCCCCCACTAGCCCCTACAGCCTCCACTTCCTCCTCCTCCTTGTCCTCCTCATCCTCCCTGCCACACAACTGAATTACACTTGGTGGAAGTTGTGCCCTTTGCCGACAGACACTGGGTCTGTGAGGTAATCCAGGCAGATGGCGCACACTGCCTCCTCCTGAAAGGTCTGTACAGGGTTGGGTGTAAAGGCTGGCTGTGTGTTGAGGGACAGTTCAATGCATACTTAGCTTTGTGTAAGCATCAGTTATCCAAAGCTTTTTCCATTGGAATAGCCTAAGTTATTAAGACTATGCTAGCAGATACAAGATGGAAAGCTTTGAATTCATTGCCCCATAGTTCTTCTATGTATACAAACAAACAAACAAACAAACAAACAAACAAAAAACCCTCTGACTCATAGCAACCCATATAGGGTTTCTAAGACTGTAAATCTTTATGGACCAGACTGCCTTTTCTTCCTCCCCTGGGGCAGCTGGTGGGTTCAAACCGCTAACCATTTAGTTAGCAGCCAAATACCTTAACAACTGTACCAGTGGAGCTCTTATATGTACACAAAGTTTCTTAACTCTTGAAGTGCAAAGTTAGACTGTGCCAGTGACTGACAATGCAGCAAAAACTGATACTTTGCCCTGGCATGCAGCTGTAGAGTTGTACTTGCATCTCTGAAAGTTATTGGGTTGATTTTTTTTTTTTTTTTTAAGAGCGGTGTCTTTATTTTTCATTTCCAGAGAACTATAATTCTGTGGAAACAAAAAATGTTAACTTATGTAACCGATGGAATTTTTTTCCCTAGGCAACAGGGTAGGAAGGGAGAGAGAGCGAGCGAGCGAGTTTTCCCCTTATAAAGAAAGGAGATGTTGATACAACAGGGTTGTCATGACCTGGAGTCAACCTGATGGCAAGGGCTCATTGATGCTATGAATTTTCCAAAGAGAAACAGATGTTGTCACTTCCTAGGACTATGATGTAGCTATCTTTGGGAAGTCGATGGAGATCAGTAGAACATATTGGCAGAGCATAGATTATCAACATATAAAACCTTGCCTTTAAAATATTTTTAAGATAAATGTAGTTTTTTGAAAATTATCCAAACACTCTTATTTTAATTGGTTTTGGTTATTTCTTTTCTAACTTGTATTACACAGAGATCTATTTTCTCAAATAGAAGATACTTAAGATAAAATTTTAACTTATTTTTGATATCTTGAGGTCATCGAGACCATTGATTAGTTGTGTAAATCTCAGATTGACATACATGTCGAATGATTCAGATTACTTTATCATAGTTAATCTCGCTTTATTTGAGGTCAGTATGTGAGGTGTTACTTTATACTAAATTCTGAGTCTGACTCTAGAAATGGTTACTTTTATCTACATTACCTAATTAGTTTTGGGGTGTGAAATCCAAAAGAGACTGTTTAGGATTATATGTAAAGTAAGAGTAGTAGACTAAATAAACTTAATTTCTACAACCCAAAAATCTATGTATTATATGATTCTTTGTGTGAAAGTTTATCTATTAGGCAAAAATATGCTGAGAAGGAAAAATGTTTATGATATCTTCAATGAAAGGAACAATTCAAATATAGTCCCACTGTGTTATTAAAAATGAGCTCTGGGGTGTAATGCTTAAGGCATTTGACTGCTAACCAGAAGGTTGGCAGTTCAAATCCACTTGCCACTCCACAGAAGGGACACTGGGCAATTTACTTCTGTAAACATTTACCACCTCAGAACCTCAGTGGGGATCACTATAAATTGGAATTGACTGGATGGCAGTGAGTTTGGTTTTTTGGTTTTATGTTATTAAATCCCTACATATTGTACAGGAAGCATAGATAATATTAGTAAGCACATACTAAAAGGACTGGAACTGTTCACAATGGTTATTTCTGGAGAAAAGATGTGATTTCAAAAGGCAAGGTAAAACGTGCTGTGGTGGTAGTAAGGCAGGGCATTCTCTTGTTATTGTGTTTTTATGTTAATTTACTGGTTTACAAATAAGCATATATTGCTTTTCTAATTGTAAAAATTTCTAAAAATTCAGAAAGTACAGACAAGCAAACAAAATCACATATATGCTACCCACCCATTGACCATGATCACTACTTTTCCAGATTATTTTCTAAGAGTCTACTCTTAGAATATTCTTTCCTAACACATATACCAGGACCCCTGGTAGTGCAGTGGTTAAGTGCTCAGCTGCTAATTGAAAGGAAGGGAGTTGGAATCTACCACTCTCTGCTGGAGAAAGATGTGGCAGTCTGCTTCCATAAAGATTTACAGGCTTGAAAACCCTATGGAACAGTTCTAGTCTGTCCTATAGGGTTGCTATGAATCGGAATTGACTTGATGGCAGTGGGTGGCTATCATATATGCCAGCCTAGTGGGATAAATATTGCTATCTTGCACAAAAATGGACCTATTTTCTTTTTTTAAAAAAATAAGATATTATGAAAATCTCTCCATGTCCATGAATATATACTGCAACTTTAGTTTTAGTACATCAGTTTAGATATGCAAGTTTCCCCTTGGGTTATAGTTACACATAAAAAATAAAGTAATGGATAAAGGAAACAACTCTAGCCAATTTAGGCTAATCCAAAAAATTTAGATTTCAGACATTGAGGAAAACTCCATATACTTTCCCCTAATTGAATGACATAGTCATCTCTCCCCACTAAATTCCTTTAATTGTTTATTGTCTTTTTCCTCATCTCAAACCTCTACTTCATGTAAATTGTCTTTATAATTTGTAACCTTATAGATAAGGTGTTAAGATAGTATCATTTATAAATATATTACAGCTTTATAAAAGAAGAGATAGCTGGCATCTTTCCACTTATTTTGGCCTATGTTAATTCTTCCTGGGGAGTCCTTGGGTAGTGCAATAGTTGATGCCGTGCACTGTTACACTGCACTGCTAATTGAAAGGCTGGACGTTTGGGTCCACCCAGAAGCACCTTGGAAGAAACTCCTGGTGAGCTACTGAAAAATCAGCCATTGAAAACCTTGTGGAGTATAGTTTTACTCTCACACACGGGGTCACCTTGGCAACTAGTTTGTTTTTTTGGTAACTCTTCATGACACTGACTTTCATTGACGTTTCAGGAATGATTATTTAAAAATATCTTAACTTCTCTTTCAGAGTTTCAAAAAGAACTATAAGTACCCTAAATCACTAGATGTATTATCCACCGTTGGGTGTGCACTGTCCATGGCTGGCCTGGCTCTCACAATCATATTTCAGGTTTCCACCAGGTAAGAGGGGAAACAAGCTCATCTCATTAGAGAAATCGCTATCCTAATCTACTTTAGTCTATGCCCATTCTCATCAGAATACAGTCTCTAGAACTAGAAGGGAAATCAGAGATTTAGTTCAACATTTTCATTTTACAGAGGAGGAAACTCAGCTTCACAGAGCCTAAGAAATTTGCTTAAGGTCTCACAATTCTTCCATGTTGAACAGAACCATGCCTACTGATTTGCATTTCTAAAAGAAAAAAAAAGTTGCAAGACAGTGACTTTTTGAAAATAAAATTAATTTTCAAAAATATGCCAAGTAGTCAAATGATGAAATGGACTGAAGATCCACTTTTGTATCTCACTGTTATTTTTTTTGTCACAATGCTACATTTTTAGCAATCTGTACTCTCTTAAAATCTTTATTGTCTGTTTCCCCATCAGCATGAAAATTCATGAGGACAAAGACTTCCTCTGATTTTGTTTTTTCAGTTGTTGTTTGTTGTGTTTTGTTTTGATCACTGTATCCCCAGGGTTGAACACAGTAAAGGGATATTTGTGGAAAAAATAGGTTATGCATTTCTCCTTGATCTCGCCCTCAAAGTCAATATGTCTCAAGAATGCATACTGCTTTCAGAACCATCTTTCCCCAATACATTCCTTCACAACTATTTTCTCAGAAGTGTAGAGTCAGGGTTTATTTATTTATAGAAGTATTGCTATTTTTCTTTTTACTTTTCCCAAAGTTTTGTTTTAAAAAATTAAAAACCTACAGAAAGTTGAAAGAAGAGTACGCTAATCACCTTTAGGTTTTACCTAGACATACTGATTATTAACATTTTGCACTTTTGCTTTATTTATTTTTTCCTGAAAATTTGAAGTATGTTACAAACATCATGATCATTCTCTCTAAAATTTCAAGCATGTATCTCCTAAGTGCAAGGATATTCTCCTACCTAGTATAATACTATTATCCCTACTGAGGAAATTTAACTAAAGAAACTTACCATTAACACAAAAATTTGATGATGTTAGTATACAATCCATATTTTAATTTCTCCAATTGTCCCAGTAATGTCCTTGATAGCTGTTTCTTTTTTTTTTGAAAAAAATTTATCTAATTGCTCTATCTCTTTAGTCTTCTGTAGTATATGATAGTTCCTCTTTTTTTTTTTATTTTTTTGTCTGTTTGTTTTGGTCTTTCATGATATTGACCTTTTGTTGAAGTGTCCAGGCCAGTGCTTTGTAGAACACAGGTTCATCTAGGACACTGTAACAGCTGGGTCTTTCTCCTTCCCATGTAGTCCCAGGCCCTTCCTGTGTGGTTCCTTCAGCAGGACAGCTGGGCTGCTCACTGGCTCAGAACTCCCCACAGCTCCAAAGAGGAAGCTGTCACCTGGGCTGTGTTGTGACTTTCATGAGCCCTAGGCATTTTTGCCTTTGTGGGAGGCTTGTTCCACCAAAAAAACAAAAAAATATTAAAGGTTAAAAATTATATTTTATGACTGTATTGATATAAAGATGAATACAGTAATATTTTATGTTAAAATGCTTTTGACCAAATCATTTTTTTTCTTTGGAATTTAAGCAAAATTAAAACATTTTTATGACCCATTAAAGATTGTGAGTTCTAAGCACTGTGCTACTGTGTTTAATGGATTAGTTGGGTCTGGCTGCCAGGCCTTCTGCTGCATTCTAGTAGTCAAATCAAGTCACAGATCAACCTTGGGAAGGAAATACACAAGATATAAATGCTGAGAAATAGGGCTTATTGGTTTTTTTTTTTTTTTTTAAATCAGAACACAGTTTCTATCTAGAAAATATGCATCAACCTATTTCCTCTAACTTACTTCTTTGTGGAAATGAAGTTAAGATGTAAAAGAAACATGCTTTTCTGATATAATAGCTAAGGTAGATTTACCAGCTAGCCCACTGGGCCATGGGCTACATTTACATAGGATAATAAGTATTCCTTTATTCTCTCACAATTTCACAGGAGTTTATTTTTTGCAGTTGTTTGGTTTTATCTATCTCTTTATAGGAAAGTCAGAAAAACCTCAGTCACCTGGGTGTTGGTCAGTCTGTGCATATCAATGTTGATATTCAACCTCCTCTTTGTGTTTGGAATTGAAAACTCCAATAAGAACTTGAGTGATGAAGACAATAATAATAATGAAGATTATAATAATAAAATTCCCACAAGAGACACCATCGACACCCCAAATCCCACGTGCACTGTGGTTGCTGCTTTACTGCACTATTTTCTGCTAGTAACATTTACCTGGACTGTACTCAGTTCTGCCCAGCTCTATTTCCTTCTAATTTGGACCATGAAACCTCTTCCTCGACATTTCACTTTCTTCATCTCATTAATTGGATGGGGTAAGTAATTGCCTCTCTACTTACTCAGGAATTCAATTTTGTTGACATAATTTAATTTTAAAAAGCATCTATTGAAGGTCTAATAGTACAAGGCCTCAGGGTAGGGCAAATAGAAATTACATAGCTTACTAGAAATATCTGCTGTCTAGTAACTTATACAACAATGAATGAGGCCAACACGATGCAGGTAGCTATGCTACATATGTCATTGTAAGAGAACTTAAAGATGTCAATTTCCCTTAACATCTGTTTTTGCTAATTTGGTTTGAGATTTAGAGCACAATATAATGAATTTTTAGCTACTTTTAAAGAAACACTTTAAGAATGATGATCAGAGCATGTCTTTAAGAAAAATAATTTGAAAATTATATTGGGTGCCAGCAAAGGAAGCTGTGTTAGTAATAAATTTAAATTTATTTGCATGAAAAAGGAGCCTAGACCATTTAAGATGAGACTTGTGGTAAGATTTACAAAGAAATCATTAATAGTGTAGAGTTGGTGTATAGAATTGATCCTAAATGTAAAAGAACACATAGAGGAAAATGATGTCCACTGTTGATCTAAATCTTTAAGATTGTTTAGCATATTGTCCAAAGTACAATGCATCCTGAAAGGTCCAGATGTATAATTCATTTGTGGTCTTTTATAACTAATCCTCAGTCTTGGGTAAATTATTAATTCCTTGTCTCTATCACATAGGAGTCCCGGCTATAGTAGTGGGTATGACAGTGGGAATTATTTATTCTCAGAATGCGGGCGATTCACAATGGGAGTTAAACTACCGGCAAGAAGAAATGTGAGTTTATGTATTTTTTCAAACATCCATTTCTTGACACATAAGGGTGTAATTATTCAATGACGTTGAAGCCAAGTGTCACTATACATATGTAACTCATTTAATAATTGTCATATTTAGTCATAGATGTTTCAAATTCTTAAAGAGTTTATATTTTTAAAAGAGCACATTACATTTTAAATGTGTTAACATAGAAACCTCCTACAATAAATCCTTTTGTAAAGTGAGAAATTACCTTCTAAATTTATAAATCTAAATGTTTAATATTAAATTTGTTTTCTTTTATTAAGTCTGGAACTCATAAAACACAGTAAGCATTATCTTTAGTAACCTCTTACCTTTGTTTTTTCATCTTACCTTATGTCTCAGTAGGGATAATGACAGTAGTAATACCTACTCTGTTACTGCAAGTTACTAAGAGTGCTAAAGTAAGCATGAAACATGTCATAAGGAGAAGTATATTTTCTATATGACTTATTTGCATGAACCAATTCTATGTTGATATGATTATCACAAATACTTCATAATGATTTATCACACATAAATCCTCCCTGTACTCCAGTATGGATAATTAACTGTTAATAACAAAAGCATCTGACTGTATGATGTTTGCCTTTTATGTGGGCAGAGAGCAAAGGAAGCTGAGCTCAACTCTTTCCATGTACTTCTTGAATGGCAACCACTACTAAAGTGCAACTGCTCTTGAACTCCCTCCTCACTTCTCATTTTAGACATCCCAACCATTCTTAACCCAGTTCTACCTGAAGTCCCAAACCAAATAAATCCCAAATAAAAACCAAAACTTATGGAAAAATGGAAGCACAGCCATGGGAAGTCTATGGTATTGGTAGGGTACTTTCCCAAGGCTGACCACACTGTAGAACAGTGGGGCACTTGCTTGGGTTGATTTCAGAAACCAGATATTCCCAGGTTCTGCTTTCTATCTGTTAAATTATGGCTAAATATCTTTGAATGTGATTGTAACTTTTTAGTTTCACAAGTAGAGATTAGGGGTAATATGAAAGTATCCCAAGGGAGAATTTATACACTTCAAATTGCACTATTTTCCTACCCTGAAAAAGGCACATGGTTAGACTCACTCTTACAAAAAGCCTTTGTTGTTGTTGTTTTGTGCTGTCGAGTCAGACCCGACTCATAGCAACCCCTCCTTGGGTTTCCAAGGCAGTATCACTCTGGAAGTAGATTGCCCCCTCTTCCTTCCGAGGAGTGGCTGGTGGGTTTGAACCGCCAGGCTTCCTGTTAGCAGTCAAGTGCCTTAGGCACTATGCTACCAGAGTTAGGAGAAAGTAAGCTACCGACTTAAATTTATTCACACTGAGCTATAAATAATTGAGAGCAGATCTTTTCATGGTTACTGTATTAGACTAGTTGGGGAAGACACTAACTGCCAATGAGTCAGTTCTGACTCATGAAGACATTATGTATAATAGAACAAAAATATAACAAAAGATGGTCCTGTGCCATCTTTGTGATTATTGGTGAATGCTCGAGACCACTGCTGTAGCTATTGGGTCAATCTATCTCATTGAAGTTTCCCTCATTTTTGCCAAACGTAATGTCCTTTTCTAGCAAAGGGTAGTACTAAGATTTAAAAAGAAAAGTTGGGAAAAGGAAAGGATGTGTAACATGAGTATCAACCTCATCTTGGGCTCCTGTTCCACTATCTTCTACTTCTTTCTCCCCCAGCTGCCACCCCCTTTGCCCTCACTTTCTACCCCCTCTCTCTCTTCTCTTAATCCCTGTCTTCCCACCTTCCACTCCCTGTTCCTTCCACTTCCCACACACAAACACACACACATCAAGGGTCATATTTCTACAGGATATATAGAGAAAGAGGGGGGATTTCTTCTGGTTTTCCTGAATTATCCTTCCAGAAGTTGTTACTTAAAAGCCTGGGCTCAACCCTACTGCTCCCAGCTCTGTTTGTTGTGCCTGAACCTTGGCCCAGTTCCCCTGAAGTATTGCATGGGCCTAGTTAAGGGGTGAATGCAGAGCAGGCCACACTCTCTTTTATTCCTCTACCTCTGGTTCTCTGTACCACCACCATGTAGGCTGTTCCAGGCTTTCCTGATGGGTTGAGGCAACCATGGGGAATTATAATTTATGAAGGGAAACATTTTCAAGTGTATGTTGTATATAAGGTTCTCTGGTGGCACACTGGGTAAAGCAATTGGTTGCTAACCAGAAAGTCAGCAGTTCAAACCCACCAGCTGCTCTTTGGGATGAAGATGAGGCAGTCTACTTTCATACAGATTTATAACCTTGGAAACCCAGTGGTGGTCGCTATGAATCAGAATCAACTTGATGGTAGTGGGTTTGGGTTTTGTGCTGTATATACCCAAAATGTCATTTCCCCTGTTCCATGGCAAAACTCACTAAGGAGTTAAGCACTTCATCTAAGATCCACTTGTGACTCTTCCAATCTCAGCACTATAGATTTCAGATCAGCTTTGGACAAGTGACTTTCTAATCTCATTTCCAGAAATCTCACTCTATCTACAAGAGTTGGTTTCACTGTATAGACTCTTTCTAGCAGTCTATTTCCCCAAATCTGAGTTATTCAATTCAGAATAACTAGAAAAGGGGGTGTCATGGGAAGAAACCCAGAATGACAATCTCTTGTGGCCTTTATCACTCCAAGTAGCCCAGAAGAGAGAATGAAGGGGGCCCGCCTACTGTACATTGCCTGATATGGGTATCCAAGACTATTTCCTTCACACATTTCCTCATCTGAGTAAGGTAACTGTAGAATCTCACAGACACACACATGCACACATTCTACATGTGTGTAGTACCAATAATAATTCTGTAACAGAAATACCACAAATGGCTTAACAAACAGGAATTTATTCTTTTATTGTTTAGGAGGATATAAGTCCAAATTCGGAGTGCCAGCTCTAGGGACTGGGTGAAGGACCCTTGACCTTGGGCTTCAGCTCTGCCTCTTGTTCCAGGCCCACTGGAGCTAGAGGCATCTCCTAACTCAGATAGCTGCTGAATGTTGAGGCTGATGAACCCAAGGTAGGCACGTAAAATAGCACAATCCCAATATTGATAGGCAGTATGGCAGGTCACTTTTTCAAGTCCAGGAGCAATCCCAATATTGTCAGGGAACACGCCAGGCCACTACTTCAAATCTAGGAACTGGAGATAAAGACTGGGCCAAATGCAGGATTCAGATGTGCCAAAAAGCCAGGGACTTTCCTGGAAACTTCTCCTTATATACTAGAAGCAGGCCATACCTCAAAGGCAACTACTTAGTGGTTCACAGCAGATTCCACCATGGCGGTGATTACAATCTCATAATGGGGAATAATTATATCCAGCTGCTCAGTCACTCAAAACCATGGTTCAGCTAAGTTGACACACAACCTTAACTACCACTCCTCATAATGTATAAGTCTGCCTTTACCCAATAAAGTTGGTCCGCTATAAGCAAAGTATAAAAATGGCATGGTGAGGGTATCTGGCCTCCTCTTACATCACAAGGGGAAGAGAGACTCACTAACATCATCAGCCCAAAGCTGATTCTTATGGAGTGTAGGTCAGACATACCTTCTCTCTCCAACTGTTTACTAGTTCTGACACTAGCCGTCTCACCTGTGGTGCTCTTTAATTCTTTTGGGTTTGATAATTCATTGCAATGGCCACACAAAATGCCCAGACAGTACTCATGGTTATGGGGTTTAGGACTTGCTATTCCCACTGCCTGGAATGCTTTTCCTCTTCTCTACTTCAGGTCTTTGCTCAAATATCACTCTTTTCCCATGAAGCTTTTCCTATTTAAATTGAGACAGCCCCCTACATACACACACACTCACACAAACTGTAATTCCTACTTTCTGCTTTTGTTTTTCTCTATAGAATTTGTTACCATATGCCATAATTCCTATATTCACTTGTATCTACTTCTCTCTACTACAGTATAAATTCACTAAAGGGGGGATTTTTGTCTATTTTTTTTTTCACTGCTAATACCTTTTCTAGAACAGTGCTGGCACATGACACATACTTCATAAATACCTTTTATTTCAACAATGCCACGTGGTTACTATATTCTTACCTTACAGATGAGAAAAAAACATCATCACTACCACCACCACCACCAAAATCCAACTGCAATGAGTTTAAATAAATACATAAAAGTGTTTTAAAATATTACTTTTTAAAATATCCATCAACAGGAGGCTATTTAAATAAATTACTACATACTAAAAAATGTAATATTCAGCTTGAAAAATAACAAGAACACTATAGTCTGATATGGAATGATTGCCAAGGTTATGTTGTTATGTGAGGTATAGGAACATGTCCCATATGTTGTCATTTGCTTAAAAATCAGGAAAAAATATTCATTTGTTGGCATATGCATAGCCTAAGTTTAGAAGAATACACAAGAAACATTGATTACCTCTGGGGATAGAAACTGGGTGGCTGGGGATAGATGTAGGAAGGAATCTTGTCCCTCCTCGGTTTGTACCTTTCTGTATTTTGAATGATATAGATGTGCTGCATATTCAACATAAAATAAAACAATAGCTAAAGTCAGAATCTAGTAAGAGATAGGGAGTGACAACTTAAATTCAAGACTTACTTGACTCAAAAGTCCATGTCTTTTCCCTTACTGCATATTGGCTCATAGAGAAATAGGGCAGAACAAACCCACTTCACTTTCATAGTGGATTGAATTCTTGAAAATCATCTCAAATGCATAGGATGCAAATGGATTTTGACTTTCAGCAGGTCTTTCATTTGAGTAAATATCAATAATGTTAATGGCTTAGGGAACTAGGATACATACCTCGTTGATCTGCTGAGATACTTCTTTTCTTCTCCATAGCTGCTGGTTAGCAGTTCCAGAAGGCACTCAGGTTGCAAAGAGTCCAATGTTATGGTCGTTCTTCATACCTTTTACCATCATCCTCATCAGCAATGCTGTTATATTTATTGTCATCACAGTCAAAGTGCTGTGGAAGAACAACCAGAATCTGACGAGGTAAGAGCAATGGATGGGAAACTGTCAGGCAAGTTTCATCAAGACATTGCAGCACCATGATACATGTACAATGTAGAACAGTTTTCAAACGCTGGACCAATGGCAAGGGTATGTGGTTTTGAGGACAGAATTTCTCATGACACTTTCACTCAGAAAGTGGATCATCCCTTTGTCTAGCACTACAGTGTGTTTCTGCTATATTACTTGGTGCACTTTTGCATTAATACAAACCCATCTAAAAATTAGGAGCTCTGGCAGTGTAGTGCCTAAGGCAGTTGACTGCTAACCAGAAGGCTGGCAGTTCAAACCCACCAGCCACTCCTCAGAAGAAAGGTTGGGCAATCTACTTCTGTAGTGATACCGCCTTGGAAACCCAAGGAGGGGTTGCTATGAGTCAGGTCCAACTTGATGGCAAATAACAACAACAGCATCTAAAAATTAAATATAGTGACTTGAAGAAAACAAAAATGTTTCTGGTCCAACCCCAAATAGTCAAGAAATCACATTTGAATTATTAAAGAATGATTGCAATTGTGAAAAGATGCTGGTAATTACACTATCATTTTACAAAGTCATGGCTGTATGATTTATTTTATGTATGTTGCTTGAGTCACACGATAGCTTTACCTTTTTTTCAGATTGGTTGTGAACATCTAAAAGTTGGGAGATTTTACCAAAAAATTAGATTTACTCTTGAAAAATTGGAACATCTGGCAACACTGAGCCCACATTCCCTACACATGCTACTGGTTTAATAGTGCCTGTCCAGACTGCTTCTTTCTTTCCTCTGACCTTTTTGGCCCCCAAAAGCATTTGCATTACCATCCTGATATACAGGAAAAACTTTTTTTTTTTTTTTCAAGGTTTTAGTATTTACTATTAAGTTTCTTGTTCTGGATGTTTAGTAAAGGTCATATCTGTCATTTCTTTCTATTGTAAAAATACATATAACACAACATTTGCTAATTAAACCCTTTTCAGGTATACAAATTAGTGATATCATTACATTAATCATGTTGTACAACCATCACCCATACTCATTGCTGAATTTCCCATCACCATAAACAAACACTCACTGCTTCCTAAACAATGGCTTGTCAATTATTTTTTAAATGAATGGAAGGGAGGTAGGAGATTATTACCTAGAAACTTAGACAGGCTGAGAATGAGTTAACAAAAAAAGAAAGGCAGTGGACCCTGAAGGAGCAAGTTGTTCTGCCCATAGGCTCAGGACCATGGTCATGGGGGACACCAAGCTGAATTGGCTTAACATATTACACAAAAACATTGTTCTATACACTACTTTGGTGAGTAGCAACTAGGGTCTTAAAAGCTTGCAAGTGACCATCTAGTTGCATAAATTGGTCTCTCCTCATCCAGAGCAAAGAAGAATGCAGAAAACCAAATATGCATGAAAATAATTAGTCCAAGGGACTTGTAGTGGACCATGTGAACCTCATCCTACAAGGCCTTGAGACCAGAAGAACTAGATGGTGCCTGGCTACCACTATCAACCACTCAGAAAAGGATCAGTGCAGGAGATCCTAGGTAGAGTGGGAGAAAAATATGAAACAAAACTCAAAATCATAAAAAGATCAGGCTTACTGGTCTGATAGAGACTGTTGAAACCCCTGACATTATGGCCCCTAGTTACCATTCAGGCCTGGAATTGAACTCAGTACTGTGGCTTCCAGCCAAATAATGGACAGGCATATAAGCTGACATTTACACCAGGTAGGTACACTTCTTAGAACAATCAACCATTGAGGATAAGAATGACAGTATTTGCATAGGAAGATAGCTCAGAGGGCAGGAATGCACAGAAAAGAAGGACACAGGGAAAAGGTAACCACAGTTAGGAAATTGGAAGAGTACTATTACATTATGGCAATTGCAATCAATATCATGAAACAAAATGTGTATGAACTGCTGTATGGAAAATGATTTTGCTTTGTACATTTTCACCCAAATCACACTAATAATAATAAAGGTCATAGGAGGAAATGAAAGGCACATGTTGTTAAAGTTGGCTCTGACTCATAGTGACTCTATGTACAACAGAACGAGACACTGCCCAGTCTTGTGCCAGCCTCACAATCCTTACTATACCTGAGCCCATCGTTGCAGTCACTGTGTCAATCCATCTCATTGAGGGCCTTCCCCTTTTTTGCTGACCCTCCACTTTACCAACCATGATATCCTTCTCCAGGGAATGGTTCCTTCTGACAACATGACCAAAGTAGGTGAGATGAAGTCTGGCCATTCTCACTTCCAAGGAGCATTCCGGCTGCACCTCTTCCTGACAGATTCATTAGTTCTTTTAGTAGTCCATGGTTCCTTCAACATTCTTTGCCAACACCACAGCTCAAAAGCATCCACTCTTTTTCAGTCTTCCTTTTTCATTGTCCAGCTCTCATGTGCATATGAGGCGACTGCAGCTTAGTCTTCAAGGATATATCTTTGCTTTTCAGCACTTGGAAGAGGTCCTTTGCAGCAAATTTGCCCAATGCTGTACAACGTCTGATATCTTGACTGCTGCTTCCATTGATGTTGATTGTAGAACCATGTAATATGAAGTCTTAGACAACTTTGATCTTTTCTCCATTTATTGTGATGCTGCTTATTGGTCCAGTTGTGAGGATTTTTGTTTTCTTGATATTGAGGTGTAATCCGTACTGTTGACTATAGTCTTCAGTCTTCATCAGTGTTTCACGCCATCCTCACTTTCACCAAGTAAAGTTGTGTTATCTGCATAATGCAGGTTGTTAATGATTCTTCCTCCAATCCTGGTGCCTCCAATCCTGTTTCTTCTTCATATAGCCCAGCTTCCCGGATTATTTGCTCAGCATATAGATTGAATAAGTATGGTGAAAGGATATAACCCTGACACACTCCCTTCATGATTTTAAACCATGCAGTGTCCCCTTGTTCTGTTTGAACGACAGCCTCCTGGTCTATGTACAGGTCCTCATTAGTACAATCAAGTATCCTGGAATTCCCATTCTTCTCACTGTTATCCACAATTTGTTATGATAACATAACTAAATGCTTTTGCACAGTCAATAAAACACAAGTAAACATTTTTCTGGTATTCTTTGCTTTCAGCCAAGTCCATCTGACATCAGCAATGATATCCCTTGTTTCATGTGCTCTTCTGAATCCAGCTTGCATTTCCAGAAGGTCTCTGTCAATATACTGCTGAAACCGTTTTTGAATTATCTTCAGTAAGATATTACTTGCATGCAATATTAATGATATTGTTCAATAATTTCCAAATTCTGTGGGATTACCTTTCTTTGGAATGGGTACAAATATGGATCTCTTCCAATCAGCTGGCCAGGTAGCTGTCTTCCAAATTTCTTGGCATAGATGAGTCAGTGCCTCCAGCACAGCATCCGTTTGTTGAAACATCTCAATGGGTATTCTGTCAATGCCTGGAGCTATAAAAGAGTTCTGGTGGCACAGTGCCTAAGGCATATGACTGCTAACCAGAAGGTTGACAGTTCAAACCCACCAGCCACTCTATGGAAGGAAAACTGGGCAATGTACTTCCATAAAGATTTACCACCTCAGAAATCCAAAGGGGGTCATTATAAGTTGGAATTGACTTGATTGCAGTGAGTTTGGTTTGGCTTTTGTTCTTTGTCAATTTCTTCAGTGCAGCTTTGAGTTCTTCCTTCATTACCATTGGTTCTTGATCATATGCCACCTCCTGAAATGGATGAACATCAATCAATTCTTTTTGGTACAGTGACTCCCCATCTTCTTCTGATGTTTCCTGCATCATTCAATATTTTGCCCATAGAATCTTTCAATGTTGCAACTCGATGCTTGAATTTTTTCTTCAGTTTTTTCAGCTCAAGAAATGCTGAGCATGTTCTTTCTTTTTGGTTTTCTAACTCCCGGTCTTTGAACATTTCATTATAATAATTGACTTTGTCTTCTCAAGCTGCTCTTTGAAATCTTCTGTTCATCTCTTTTACCTTGTCATTTCTTCTGTTTGCTTTAGCTACTCTCAAGTTTCAGAGTCTTTACTGACATCCATTGTGGTCTTTTCTTTTTTTCCTGTCTTTTTAATGACCTTTTGCTTTCTTCATGGATGATGTTCTTGATGTCATCCCACAATTTGTCTGGTTTTTCGTCATTGATGTTCAATGCATCAAATCTATTCTTTAGATGGTCTTTAAATTCTGGAGGGACATAATCAAGTTCATATTTTGGTTCTTGTGGACTTGTTTTAATGGTCTTCAGCTTCCACTTGCATTTGCATATGGGCAGTTGATGGTCTATTCCACAGTCAGCTCTTGGCCTTGTTTGGCTGAAGATATTAAGCTTCTCCATTATCTATTTCCACAGATGTAGTCTATTCAATTCCTGTGTACTCCATTTGGCAAAGTCCACGAATATAGCCATCATTTGTGTTGCTGAAAAAGGTATTTGCTATGAATAAGTCATTGGTCTTGAAAAATTCTATCATGTAATCTCCAGCATTATTTCTATCACTGTGGCCATATTTTCTAACTATCAGTGATTCTTCTTTGTTTCCAAGTTTTACATTCCAATCACCAGTGATAATTAACACATCTTTATTGCATGTTTGGTCAATTTCAGACTGCAGAAGTTGGTAATAATCTTCAATTTCCTCATCTTTGGCTTTGGTGGTTGGTGCATAAA